CCATTACTACAAATCCTGAATAGTATTAATCTTACTCTTGTTTTCTGCGCAATCATCTAGAATCATCTCTACTGATCAATAATTCCTTTTGAGCCATGTTGGTCACCCCATATCTGACCCATGCAGAGCAAACTTTCTTCATAGAATACAATGTTAATTTTCCAGAAAAATAACCGAGAACTATCCAAGTATATTATATCAGCACCATTTCCCTTAGGAGCAACTTTGTAATTTAACAAGGAATTAAACATTTTTTTACATAAAGCTGCATCAGCTGCTACTGCTATATTCCTATCTCGTAATTCCTTATTGCATCCTGTATCGGCATTTATTGTCTGTGATTTACGTCAGATAAATCAGTGTATTACCTGTGTTCTTACTTGTCCGATTTGAATACTTATAGTCAGTCTTCATGTCTTGCAGAATTTCTGCAATAACTTAAGCTTTATTAAAAAATTAATATGGTTTCATGCTTCCTGAGATCACACATGCAAACTCCTTTAGGAATCTCAAATTCCAGTTCTTTAGTACCTGTGTACTGTAAAATGTTTCTCTCCAAGAAAAGTTGTTCACTATCCTTCTTAATAATGACCAGGAAGGTACATAGTCATCATCATATGATGTAAATACACATTCTTTCAAGTATAGAACAAATTTATTTATTAGATTTCTACTTTTTTTTTTCTATCATTATCAACACTTTTTAAAAATCTAGATGTAATAGGCCTATAACAGTGTTAAGATTTGGAAAACTTGAGCTGTTCCTAAAACTACCAACCATGCATATTCCTTGGTGTTCTCATCCATTTTCCTATGCTTGATAACTTGTAATGCTTGCTAGGTTTGCCTTTTTTCTACTTCTTGTATATATTTATTTCAAACTGCTGTGTTCACTTCCCCACTAAACTACAAATGTATTTTTCTGAATCTCCGCTCTTTCTTGATCTCAATATCCTGATATATGTCCATCAATTTCTTCTTTATACAGTCCTTCTACTTTGATACAATTTTTCTATGTAATTTTTCTTTTCCCTCAGTCATTCCTTTTCCACACCTTTTTTGGGAAGAAGTCCAAACATATGTCTTGGGAACAAGAAGACATAGCCAGTGTCTAAGTGTGTGTATATGGTATGGCTTGTAACCATGTTTGCACATACTGATGTAGCCCGTATCTAAATACTCAGGGTAAGCACTTCCACTCCAGTAGTTATCTTTACCACAATAAAGTTTGAAGTTGTTTATTTCCCTAATATGATATTTATTTTTTGGTCAGAAAATCATTAGGTAGGGTTTTTTGGAACTCCAATAATGCTTTAATGTGTAGCTCCAAGTTATATATCTGATCTGAAGTTCCTCATAACAATGTAATTTTCTTTCCCAAAATTATGAAAGAAAAAGTTATCTTGTTCTTTAGTCTTGACTGCTGTGCAAAACGGCCTCACTGGTAAACCCATTTTAGGCTTATTCCTATTACATTGATCCGTATGAAGTTACTTTCCTATGAATATGAGAAGTTTAAAACTGTATTCAATACTCCATTTCTTCATTTATTACTCAATTCCTGGTGAGCCAAAACCTCTGCTAGGCAAAGTCCTTGATTATTTACAGGAATTAAGGGAGCCTAACCTTTTAACTCCGTTAAGAGTAGCCTCTCACGGTCCCTGAACATATTCCTTCTGGACACAGTCCTTCAAACCTCTGGAAATGGAGAGAAGGAATTGATATGTGACCTGGCACACTTTTGCCTTCTAACTTATGACACTAAAAAAAATAAACTGTTTTTTTCTTTCACAACTGCTTTCCAGCATGGGAAGTTGCCCTCTATGCCCAACCTTTCTTCTGGAATCACTGGGGTGGAAATGTTTAAAAAAAAATAAACACCTTGGCAAAGATAATGAGAATTGGGATAAAACCTGACAATTGGGCACTACTGTTGGGCTAAGCATTGTTCAGACTGACATCAAAATAACACAAGGCCAACGAAAAGAAGCCGAACATAAAATTTTCATAAAGCAAACTATGCAAACTGAAATCTGATTGAACTTCTTGTTTTCAATTCACAAAGAAACCTGAAAGAATCAAAACCACAGTGAACAGTGGCGTATGCTTAATCTGATGGCCACAAGAGGGTACAATTTGTAAATTGTAAATGAGCGTAACGGTCCCATGGAGGTTTCCCTAAGTGACATCAATCTTTTTTGAAGTCACAAAAATCCCTTTTCCAGAACTGCCTAAGAGAAATTCTGGCACGGCACCTCCAAAGGCATATCTCCCCTGTGAGGGGCTCGCAGGTCACCGAAGGCAGCGCAGACCCCCTTTCTGTGTGCTTGCTGCGTGATGGATTCCCTTCAGCAGCGCCCATCATCTGCTGTTTGCAGACAACTGAAGCTTTCCAAACCTTTCATGCCAATCAAAAGTAGTGTGGGCAGCAGGTCAAGGGAGGTGATTCTGCCCTGCTCCTCTGCTCTGGTGAGACCCCACCTGGAGTACTGCGTCCAGCTCTGGAGTCCTCAACATAAGAAGGACATGGACCTGTTGGAGCGCGTCCAGAGGAGGGACATGAAGATGATCCGAGGGCTGGAGCACCTCTGCTGTGAGGACAGGCTGAGAGAGTTGGGGTTGTTCAGCCTGGAGAAGAGAAGGCTCCAGGGAGAACTTATAGCAGCCTTCCAGTATCTGAAAGGCACCTAAAAGAAAGCTGGAGAGGGACTTTTTACAAGGGCATATAGTGATAGGATGAGGGGTAATGTCTTCAAACTGGAAGAGGGGAGATTTAGATAAGATATTAGGGAGGGTGGTGAGCCCCTGGCCCAGGTTGCCCAGAGAAGCTGTGGCTGCCCCATCCCTGGAGGTGCCTAAGGCCAGGCTGGACTGGGGCTTTGAGCAACCTGGTCTAGTGGGAGGTGTCCCTGCCCATGGCAGGGAGGTGGAACTGAATGATCTTCAAAGATCCCTTCCAACCCAAACCATTCTGTGGTTCTACGATTAGGCAAGAACACTGTATTAAGAACAACTGAGCAAAACATGCACTATGGGTGCCCAAACAATACTCTGAAGACATGTGTCCTTAGGTATCAGAGCCAGGCCCAAAAGCAAAGGCCCAATGGCTCCGTCTGAGCACATCTGGAAACTGGATGTCAGTTCTGGAGCTGGACACTGCCTTTCTGCCGGGGCGAGCAAAATAGAAGATAGAGGAAGAAAAGTGGTGCTTGACTGGAGGCTTCCTTGTGATGTGTAATTAATTCTGGGGTGAGAGCTTGTAATCTGTGGTTTTGGCTCAAACCAGCCCCCATGTAACTCACTTTGATAAGCAAATATCAAAACTTGTTTATAGAATAGAATCACAGAATGGTTTGGGTGGGAAGGGACCTTTAAAGGCCACCGAGTCCACCCCCCTGCCATGGGCAGGGACATCTTCAACTAGATCAGAGCCCCGTCCAACCTGACCTTGAATGTTTCCAGGGATGGGGCATCTCCCACCTCTCTGGGCAACCTGTTCACAGGAAGTTTGAAAGTATAAAATAAAAATAAATTGCTCTAATTGAGTATATAAACGGCAATGAGCTCCCACGTATGTAACGTATCTAGAACGCACTCCGAAATGGACTCTCTCATGCAGTGCTGTGTCCGTGGGGTCCCAAATGCACTCGTGTTTTTCCATATTTTAGGGAAATCTGTCAAGCGTATGTCCTGATGTCGGCAGCAGTGGCGGCAAAAACAGCGACTCGGCGGCTTCTGTCGGTT